TCCAACTGTCTCAAGTAACCAGCTTGACAAAGCAAAATGACTTTGAATAGACTCGGATGCTAAAATAGAATTTCATTCTGCTACCCTTACAATACTAGCTACATATATGAAAACAGTGATAAGCTTGCGAATTGGCATTCCACCGACGTGTCTATTCGTACGGTCACATTTGGGAAAAGGACAACTTAGTTTTAGGTACAAATAGATAGTGAAAGCCATCAGTTTTGAACTACCATTAATAACTGCTCTCTATTATTTTAATTTAAGTAACTTTTCCTTTTTCAAATTACTGTGTAGTATGGCAATCAATTAACCAGAGATAGTGTATTTTTTAACACAATATAAGAACTGGAGGAATGAAAAATGTGTTCATTTTGGTTATAAACCACCCTCTTACCCAAAGTGCCATTCTGCAGTATGGCAGGCACTAAGTGTAAACTACCTTCAAAATTTTATAGCCCAAAGAGAAATTAGTCCATTAAAATACACTGTTTCCTACCTCAAGAAAGCAGTGTCACATTTATTCGGATCTAAGTAGTTTTTTGGTTTTTTGCTTTTGATCCAGTAGAGGGACACCAGTGAACATCATATCTGTGTGTGGACGTGCACCGATACTCTTACATAGCACTACCACTTCCACTTTCTGCAATGTCAGCCAGGGAAGGTCTTATTTCTCTCTCCTGTAAATTTATCACCTTATTAGGTAGCAAAGGATAAAGACCACCTTACTGTCTGTACTCACAAGGCAGCATCTGTGATGAGATTGTACTAGGACTTTGGGGCTCCACCATAAAAAAAACAAATGAGTTACTTAAAGGGCAGATGACAAGTAAAAGGGATATAAAATAATATTACTTTTTAGCTTTAGTAAGATTAATCACACATGAGTAAAAATATATACTTAACAGGGACTTCTGAAAATATTTTGCTTCCTTGTAATTTAGCAATTTAATGGGTTGCTGGGAGTAAAGAAAAAGAGAAAACATCTGAAAACCTTGTCAAACAGTACCGTGACACTTATTCCCAAGCCGTTATCTTTTTTGGCTAGTTCAACCTCAAAGATATCTCCAGGTTTAAGAAGTGTTGCAGTAACCTTTTTAGAATTCATTTTTTTTGCTGTATTTGTTGAGGAAGATTCCTTTATTTAAAAAAAAAAAAAAGAAAAAGAAAGAAACAAAACAAAAAGAGAGAAAGATTTACCATTAGAACAGAAGTTTTCAGTTAAGACCCTAAAGAGTGTGTTTTAGAGTCAGATGCAGCTAAAAGGAGTCCACATGGCAAAGTACTGATTACTAAGACACATAATGCTAATTGCTTTAACTCTTCCAATTGCTGCCATTGTACAGGTCTAACACAGAAATATGCTTGGTCTTCAGCAGCTGAGTATTGCCAAAATGAGTTGGTCACGGAACACAGAAACTATAATACTTGAGAATTACAGCAGTCTAGGGTCTGTTTCTGTAGGATTAATTTGCAGGAGCTCCCACAACTTGACTGAATAACCTCCCATGGGCTGAAAAGAGGAATTACTGCAAGTTAGGAATTAATTTGTAGTACCTGCCTTTGCATATTTTCAGAAAGGTGAAGCAGCAAGCTGCCTCTGTTCAGCTCACTGCTAAACTACACAAAAACATTTTTCCATAGATTAGACCAATCCCAAAAGACAATGAGTTCTGCTGCTACCCATTCCAGATACATCACTGCTACCTGAATCTAGAAAAAGCTTAATGTAGCTGCCATGCAAATAAACTTACCTCTAAGGGTGGTCACTAGACTATGACCATACTGGACAAACATACAGAACTGAAAGAAGGTTTTCTACGGAATCTGTAAGTGCATACATTCATTCCAAACTACAGTCTACCTCTAGACATGCCCATCTCGTGGCACTGGAAAGCTGGGAAGTTGTTTCAAGTTACAGGAGTAATTTTCTCCACTTATTTTGAACAAAATCACCAAACTGTTAGAAATTAGCTGTAAGGATTTGCCATTAGAAAGATAAGCTGCAGGACCGGCTGTCCTTCCCCCACATCCTTGCACCTTATTTACACCTGCAGTTAGCTATTTCAATACCGCTGTTACGCTGATGGGAAATATTCATACAAAATACACTATGCCTTTTTAGCTGGCTGTTGCTCCTGACTGCTGGAATAAGTTGCTTCATCCATGTCAGAATCCCCTCGGTCAGAATATTCCACAGACTCCACTACCCCAGGCCTTTTATTTTTCACTCGAGTACTGTCAGATGAGGATCTTCTCTTCTCGTTCATTTTAGAAAGCCCAGGCTGGGAACCACTGTACTGCCAAGGATCCTGCTGCATTCTACCACTTGCACGTTGGCCAAAGAAGCTGGCTGGCTGGCTCTGAGACAGGCTGGCGCTCTCAGTTCTGGAATCCTGGGAGCTCATGCTTCCATCCCGCTTGCCTCCCGACAAACCAGACAAACTCCCAGAAAGAAGCCTTTGGTGACCACGGGACTGGTTGTGTTCTTCTGAAGAGGACTCTGCCTCATTGTCCTGCACTGACAACGGCCTCCTCAAATAACCCCTGGCTCCATTATTGACGTGTGCAGCATTAGACGATGCTGAAAACCAGGAGACATGACAGTCAACAGTAGCTGGTAACATCTGCAGTATGGCACAAATTTCTCAATTTACAGCCACATAGAAGTGTTATCTGTCCACATTACATGAAACACCTTCTGTTTATGATGCAACCGTCCTCAGCAGAGTTTACCATAATGCACTTTTTCATTATCTCAGAACACAATTTCTAGAACATACTGGCTGTGACAGCTTGCAGAAGTGACTGCAGTCACGTTGATGTTTTACAGCTATCTCAGTCCATTAGATGTGTAACTTTCAAGAAACACAAAGAACTTTACAAAAGGTGCCAAAGAATGCAGAGTACTCAAATGCAAAGAACAATTCTTTAGTAAGGAATATTTTTCTCCATACCTTTGGATAGTTTGTCCTTAGGCTGAGAGATAACAAGTGTCACGTCTTCAGGTGCGTTCTCCAAAATTTCTAATGCTGCATGGTGGCTGACGCCTTCTAAACTTGTGCTATTTACAGATATTAGTCGGTGTCCTGCACAAAAGAGTTCATTCAGATACAATCTAACATCTACATTTTTGTCCATCAGGGAGAATGTGGAGTGCAGGTCTGAAAATCTCTACACAATGCATGGATTAAAAATTAATTAAAACTGAAGTGATGCTGGAACAGAGAACCCTAATTGTTAAAAAACCCAAACCAACCAAACCACAAGAACTGGTTATGAATATTTCCTCTTTTTAAACTTGCCAAACATGTCCATATTATGATTCCTGCCTTCTCTTCTGCTGTAATAAAAATGGATGCAAAAGCAAAAATCAAGAAGTGAAATAAGAAATATGCAGTTCAGGTCAAGGTACAGACTAAAATGAAAAGAAACAAAGGAAATATCAAATAACTTTTATTTTTTTCTCCTTCCCCCATTAGAGCAGCCATATGGATACCTTCCCTTTTTCCAAAAGTATGGCTTTAGAGCTTAAAAAAATTGAAATTACAAAGCATCTATAGACACATAATTGGAAACAAAGCCCTTATCTTTATATGTTACTTTAATTTTCTGCGACTTCATCATTTTTAGTTAGAATTGAATGATTTATTTTTATATAGTTTAATAAAGAAGTATGAGCAGTTTTCAGAAATTATCCAGAACGTAACTGAAGTTCAGCATTTGTAAAGGACTGATGCCCACAGCCATAGATAAAAATGGCACTACATACATGATTGGCCTTTTCTTTCATGCGTATACCTCTTCTTATTTACACTATTTACCTGGCTTTAGAGATCCTTCCAAATCAGCTGGACCTCCTGGAATAACAGAATGAATAAAAATTCCCAGATCAAGTTTCCCTGTCTTCTCTCCGCCAACTATTTGGAAGCCTATTAAAAAAGGTGCAAAGTAGGCAGAAGCATCAGCGATCATGGTGCAACTTAACCCAAGTACAGATTTCAGAACACACAAAAACTCTGTTTTACTTAACATTTATTAGAATGACTAAGCCACATATCTCAAAGAAATCTACATGAAAGTGCTGGCTTTTTTTGATTAAGCTTCATTGCATTCTCTGGTTTTGACCAAGTGATTCAGATTTTGCCTACAAAACCCCAGCTGGCTGTGGAAGACAACTGTGGCAAGGGAAACACACGAACTAACAGCTTATTTAAAGATTTCTGATTTTCTCCATTGTTAGACAATTCACGTAAATGTTTCACCCTGGTCTTACGAACTGAGTTTTTCAACTTCCTGTTTTCTTTTGATGCTTCTAATTTTTTTCTGCTAATTCTACGAAGTAGACCTAGGAAGTATGTTCAAGATCAACACAAAATAAATAGAAGATACCAGGTCATCTCTATTCTAGCTAAAACAGCAAAGTACCCCAGATTGCATGGGGAAGAAAGAAAAAATGCATTTCATATGAATTTCCTTCCTTTTTGGTCAACTTAAGTTATTGTGCAGGGTAAACACTAAATATTGCCCTCTTGCAGGCCTTTTACCCTCTTCAAATTAAGCAACATTATTTTGAACGACAGACAGAACAATGTTCTTAAGGACACTTGTGAGCCTCCCTAAAGCACAATACTGACACCAAATTATTCATTACTTATATGGGGAAAAATTACGTGGGTTTATGAAAAACCTCAGTGGTAGAAGAAGGAATGGAATGCAAATATATTTTCTCTCATGCTTCTTAAACCTCAAATTAATGATATTATAAGAGTATGAAAAACACTCCACAATTAGCTCATAACGTCTTTATAATGTCTTTTTAAAAATTATTATGTAAAGCCTTCAATCTGTCACAGTTGTAAGGTGTCCACACAGACAAAAAAATTTGTTTCTGAACACAGAGATAAACTTGAAAGACCAACTTTTAGGATGCCTAGTTCACAAAATATGTATTATCTTAGTCTTACAATATGCTTAACACCACCTGACAAATCAGTAGAGGGACTATGAAGTAAGTCCATGCTTCAGCATGGACTTGCAAATGCCTTTGAAATTCAGCTACTGTCTGCACTGCTTTCCTCAGTCCTACAATAAACTTACATGCAGACCAGAAAACTGTTTTGGTTTTGGCTTTTAGGAACATACATGACAAAAACAATTTTAAAGCACATACCTAAGCCAAATTTTTCATCCTTTTTCAAGTTCACCAAAGTGATCTCTCTTTCCGGTGAGGCAACTCTGTTCTGTGTTGTTTGCAGAGAGTCATCTGAAAAGCCAACATTTCATGACCAAACATTACTTGAATGCTTTCCTTCAAGTTTGCCTTGAAGTTCTATTCCATTGAAAAAAAAGATTACTTGTTTGATAACCTGAAAAGCTGTTCTGAACTACTGCGTCCAACTTTCACCTGTCAAGCCATGTCCAAATAAAAAACCCAACATGTCACTACTGTTAAAACTCACTCCCATCTTTAGCAGTTAATTTTTATTCCTTCTAAGAAAAGCCTCTAGCATGGTCTTGTGAAATCACAACACAACCGAGCCCTACAATCTTCAAATTTATTATTCTCAGTTCAGTCAAGTATTTAGATCTGTGTTTACGTGCCCTGCTCAAGTAGGCACTACTGTAAGCAGGTTGGTAAAAGTGAAACTGAGGCTTATTATGTGAAGTTAATAAAAAGTTACCCAATGAGTTCTTTTACTGGTGATCCTTCATTAAAAACAACCAACATTAGAAACATCTCCTAACATCCATCTTGTTTAAATTTATTTCCTCATTTGCAACTCCACAGGCCGCTGATTCTGGCTCTTCCAAAATTTGAACACCCTCACAATAGATTTATGTGACTCCTTGAACTGTGACCCAGAAACTTAGGAGACGAAGGAACGTGATCTCCTGAAACTTCAAGAAACCCCAACACACTCTAAGTCTGAACTCATGAATCTGCTACCTAGAGAAGACACAACTCATTCGATCTGGAGTGCCTGGAATACATTTGCCCTAAGCAGAATACGCAATTCCAAAACGGCAGAAACCTATTGATTACTATCCATTGTTGGTTGTCCAGGTTGGCAGTGATGGATCAAAAAAAAAGAGAATTAAAAACGACTTTAAGTCACTAGGCCAGTTGATCAAAGGATCGGGGGCACAGGCAGTTTTCTCTTCTATCCCTTCAGCAGG